CTTCCCCCCTCTCACTGATGCAAGGAGCAAATTCCATACGGAAGAATATAGACTTGGCCTTTGAGATTTCTTTGTTTCTTGGGGTTGTGATGGAGCAGAATCATTTGGAAGGGGGGGGGGGAGAAAAGAGTTGAGTCTTATGCAACGCATCACGAACGCTCAAGTACCCAGAGGGGGACTTTTGGTTAGCAGCATCAAACAGAGAAGCCCTTGGCTTTGGGGATGGGGCAGGCCATTCTGCGAAGGCCATTCGCTCCTGCGTGTGTTGTACCAAGGGGGGCATCTTGTATACCTGGTTTTGGAAAGGATGCTCCTGGGTGTTAAATCCGCGGGGGCTGATTCTGACCCCAGGTTACCGAAATGCTGCTGGTCATGGTAGATTGCCGCAGACATGACACAGAGTACAGAGTGAGTGGGCAAGCAGCCAGACCTCCTCATACCTCTCCCACTTGCTCCAAAATTATAAAGCCGGGACAAAACGCTGAGTCCTGAGTTTACCTGGGGCCCTGCTTTGCTGATTCAGAGGAGACCTTGTCTAGGCAGTGCTCCTCGGGCTGAGCTTTACAGGGGTCCTGTCTTCCTCTTCTCCCTTCGTAAGGGCACTGCAGGAAAGTTGAAGCCTTCTTTGTGGTTCAGTAATTGCTGAACGATCCTCATGAGCTGCTTGCCAGTAGATTCCCTCATGGAGAAAATGTGGTCCCGCCCCCCCCCCCCCGCCCCAGCCCTTGGTAGTATCCGATGTGCCTCGTTCCCTGGAACTTGCCTTGCATGACAACGTAGTGAGCCAGGAACGACAGCAGAGTGGTTGGTCTCTCTACGCTAGGGTTTATTTTGGTTGGAAAAAAACGGTGTTGCTCTCCCTTCCTTCCCTACCCTGGGAAAAGTGTTTGTCTGTACGTTCAGACCTACCTTATGACTGCTGAAGCATAGAGGGGCTAAAGTGTTAGATCGGGGAGGAACCGAGTGGGAACCTAAGGTAAGCTTAGGCTGAAGACCCCAGTTACGCCCTGCGAGCAGGTCTGCCTGTGTTCTGGGCCAGGTTACCTTTCAGGAAGGGGCTGAGGTGTCAGTGGGGTTTGGTTTCCAGGATCAATCCTTCAACCCCCTTCTGCATTGAACTTCTGGCATTGCACTAATTAATCTTCGTCTTGGCCAGTCTCCTAAGGCGAAACTGTCGTGAAACAGGGAGTGGCAGCTATAGTGAAGGAGAGGTTGTTTATAGTGCTCAGAGTGTGATGGGTGGGGTGGGAGAGTATTAAAAATGCTGAAGGACCTTCCAAAGGGGGTTGAGTCTCTGTGTGAGCAGGGGCCGTATTATGGATTGATCAAGTGTCTGTGATGATTGCTTAAAAGGGAGTTAAGGTGTGGT